AGACGTCACTTGGATACCAGCATTCCACACTGGGATACAAAGATTTGACTCCCAGCTCCACTTCTACTTCTAGCTTCCTGCTGATGAGCACTCTGGAAGGTGGCAGGTGACGGTCACACAATGGTGTCTCTGTTACCCAAACATGAGACCCTGATGGAATTTTCCACTCCTGGTTTTGAACTGGCCCAAGCCAGGTTGTTGTTGGCATTCATCTCTCTCTCCTCTCTCTCTCTCTCTCTCTCTCTCTCTCTCTCTCTCTCTCTCTGTGTGTGTCTCCTCTCTCCCTCCCATCCCTATGAAAAAGGAAATTTTTAAAAAAGACCTCAACCCACAGGGATTGGCATTTGGAATTCCTAGGAAAGAAAAGGTACTCCAATGGCAGGAGACCCAACACTCTGTCCCTGCGACTTTAGCAAAGATAGAGTGCACATCCCTCCCCAGCCCTCCGAGTTCACCTACATTAACACACATCCCACTGATCCACTTCATGGGCAAGGCCAATCAGAGATGACAATCTAAAACACACCAGAGAATTTTCTTCTTATTTATTTGGTTATCCACTCTTTTGGAGTGTAATACATCAGCCTTGGGTACAGAATTTACTAAGCAGAGTGTGTTAATAATGACTATAAAAATAATGAACGCTGTTCAAAATGTAACTATTAAAAGTGTAAAACCAAGAGTGTAACTATGGTGAGTTCCTCAGGGAAAGGCAAATTAGGAAATGTGGAGTAGGTGTTTGACATGGAGGTTAGGATATGGCTTGAGTGTTTGTCTTTAAGTCCAGCTCTGTCCTGACTATGGCTTCTTGCTCTTGCATATCCTGGGAAGCGACAGGGGCAGCTCAAGGACTTACGTCCCTCTCACCTGTTAGCAAGACTCAGATTGAGTTCTTGCCTTTTAGCTACAGCCAGGCCCAGACCCTGCTTGTTAGCAGCATTTGAGGAGTGAACCAATGGATGGGAGATCTTTCTCTACACTCTCCTCCTTTAAAATAAATCAAAATAAATATTTTTAAAAAATCAGAAACTTCTCATTTCAGCTTTTGCAAGATATACTAAATGTATAAAGTTTTTAATTTTTTTAACCTATTTTACATGTACGTGCACACACATAATCCTCTTAGGAAAATTCTACAGAGTCACTTAAAAATTTTTTTTAAATATATTCATTTATTTGAATGGCAGACTTAGAGATCTAAGTCTTCACGCCACAAATGGCCACAACAGCCACAGATGGTCCAGGCCAAAGTCAGGAACCCAGAGCCAGGAGTTTCTTCTAAGCTTCCCATGTGAGTGCAGAGGCCCAAGTACATGAGGCCATCTTTGGCTGATTCCCAGGCCATAAGCAGGGAGCTGGATCAGAAGCAGAGCAACTGGGACATGACTTGGACGCCAGCACTGCAGGCAGTGGCGTAACTCATTTCGTCACAACACAGGTCCCAACGTTATTTTTCATTTACCCAATAATTAGCAAGACAGTTTTTCCAGGTAATCAGGTAAAATAATGAAAGGTTAAACTCAATCACTCAACACTTTATCAAAAATATATTCTTTACTTCTAACTGGAATATAGCTAAGCTTATACTATGCTATTGTCTAGAAAACTTGTCTGAGTTCCCCAACAAGCAGTAGATAAGCGGCCTACAAATGGCAGTAGGAACCTCCACTTTGGAACACCTGACACCTTGGTTAAAGAAATCACAAGCAATGTTTCTCCATGCTCTCTGGAGCAACTGGCTTCAAACACAAGAGGTACAATGACATTAAGAATGCCTCAAACGGTAACCTAGAGGCTAAAGTCCTCCACTTTCATGCCCGGGATCCCATTTAGGTGCCACATTATATCCCAGCTGCTCTGCTTCCCATCCAGCTTCCTATTTGTGGCCTGGAAAAGCAGTCAAGGGCAGTCCAAGGCCTTGGGACCCTGCATCTCCATAGGAAATCCAGAAGAAGCTTCTGGTTCCTGGCTTCACATTGGCTCACCTTCAGCCATGGCGGCCCACTTGGGGAGTGAACCAGTGGACAGAATATCTTTCTGTCTCGCTTTCTCTCTGTAATTCTGATTTTCTAACAACAACAACAACAACAACAACAATAAATCTTAAAAAGAGTGTCCCAAAAGGAAATCACAATGTTTCACATGCATTAGCATGCGTTATTACAAAGCCGCATATCACCCTGCACAGATCAATTCACTCCCCTTCCTAACTCCACCAAAGTAACAGCTTTGGCAAGAAAAAAGTTACGATAGAAACTGTGAATATCTTGAGGACTGCTTAATATGTTTTAGAGGTGTCCTGTGGTACCAAAAAAGTCTTGTCCATAGCCAAACAGAAGATTCAGGGCCCTGGAAAGGGCAGGGGATGAAATTAAGATTTTTTTTGAGCATTTTCACATCCCTCTAGGAACAAAGTGAAAGATGCAGGGAAGGCCTTGGTTGTGTACAAGACGAAATTAGCCAAATGCCACAAGTGCCAGTTTTCTGCATCCTGAACCTCCACTTTCTGTTCTGGGAGCTATGCCCATCCCCTCACCCACAGCAGTGTGCACCTGCTTTCTCGAGCCTTCTTTGGATGGAAGCCTGGACATCAGTGATGTCATCTCTTCAATGCTGCACACACATGAAGGAAAGTAAAGTTGTAGCCACAGGAGGCGTTCACCATTGGAGAAGGTAGGTGAACAGACAGCACTCAGGGCAAGGTAGAATAATCGGCAGAGGAAAACACAGTGCAGGAGAGGACAAGCAGAAATGAAAAGTGCCAGGAAATATGATCACATCCGAGTCGGGAACACTGCTCACAGGCACGTGTGAGCTCTGACACCAACCAGTTTGAATGACTTTTCAGAAAATATCATGGAATTCAAGCAACATCGTCAAAACAAAATGAACAAAGCATGACAATCAGACAGCATGTACAAAAAGACAGTCCACTTGAAAAGGGTTGAAACTAAGAGTAGAGATACAGAGGAGCCATCCCAGGACAGTGGAAAAGGAGCCGAAGTGCCAGCAAAAGCAGGGTTACTGCTGTTACCCTCGTGTGCTGTCATGACCAACTGCTACTGCCGATGGCAACAGCCACAAGGTGCTTGCTGTTTGCTCAGCACCGCTCCAGGCACGTTGGACACAGTCACATCCTCCAGATGGAACAAGCTTTCCGGCCGGACACAGAGTTGAGGATCAGACAGATGTGGCTGGCACCGTGGCTCACCACCCACCGGCAAGTTAACCTTCTCATTTCTCAGTCACTTCCTATATGCAACAAGATCATTGCATCTACCTGCAACGGCGGTTGTGCAAATGAGAGATAATGGACTTAAATGCCTACTAGCAGCTGTTATTAGTGAGATTAATCCGATTAAAATCATCAAGAGTGAATAATAGAGGAAGGAGTTGGGATAGAAAAGGCAACCAATGAGCCACCTTAGGAACAGGGCACCGAAGCAGCCATCCCATGATGGAGGCTCCAGGCTCAGAGCCAGTGCTTGAACAGGACATCGCTGTGGGCTACCCTCAATGTGCCTTTGGAGCCAAAGGGCTTCAGCGTCTACCTCTGCCAAGTTGCAGTAACAATGCCTGCGCATTGTAACATGCAGGCTTGTTGCAAACACTGCCGGAAGAGATGGCGTCTCCATTTATTATTAAAGACCACAAAATTATCTACAGATGCTTATCTGCTTGATAGCGGGGGATGTCCATCTGTGTGTACAGCATTGCTCAGGTAGAATTAAAACATTCTGCCAGTAGGACCATGTAAAAGACGGACAATTATAGACTGTGGAATCATTACATAGTACGCGGTTCCTTGGGTCCCCGTGAATAGAATCTTGGTCATTTAATCTGACATTGAACGTGTACTCCACGCTTACTTCCCACAACTTCACCCTCTCCTAATCCACCTGCTTTCCACCAATGCATTCTTCGCTTCAGACTTCTCTGGAATGTCTTCCTGATCATCTCCAACGGATGGGATCTTGGTCATCCTTGAAAGTTCTGTTTAAACGCTGCTCCTTCGCCTCCCTCCAGTCCTGTAGGTGTTTCATGCGTGTCTCCCTCTATTAGCATTCTCCTAGGCTGTAACCTTAGTAGTAGTCATCTTTCTCCACCTGTCAGTAAGCTCCTTAGGAGAACAAGCAATGAATGTGTCTTTCCATCATTTATGAATACCTGCCTCCACTGCCAGGACAAACACAGAAAACATACGTCAGGCATACGCTCATTTGTCCTCACAACTTCTTCCACATACTGCAACAGCGATTAATAGATGTAAAGAATTTCTTTTTCAAGTCCTTAAAATCTACCTTTAAAAGGAACTATCGTGATCAAATGTAAAATATTTTGTTTTGTTTTGTTTTGTTTTTAATGTGAGGTTGGGGCAGTAATGCGGAAGAGAAAAACACATTCTAAAATTTCTGAGATTAGTGTGAAAAGTGGGTTAATTCGCTTTGAAGTATCCAGTTTGCCAGGCCTTAGTCAATCCAAAAGCAAATGCTTCCTGGAGAGTGACAGCCAGAGCCCCAGCCCCAAAGAGGGAGGAGTCGGGGTGTTGCTGCAGCAGCTGCAGGTCCTCAGGTGTGGCTGGTCCCCTTCCGTGTCTCTGCCCAGGTACACCTGTCTTCAGCATCCAGGTCTTCAACCGTGTCAGCGCAGGTGCTCGCCGGCGTCTCTCCCTTTAGGTGAAGCGGCCACCCTTCGGGCTTCCTGGTGTCCCTTGCCTTTAACAAATCTTCCCTCAACTCAGGCAGAGGGCTGTCCAACTTGGTCTTCCATGTAGAACTGAGCAGCAAATTCTAGTCTGTATGCCCGCACAGTATCCATTTCAGAACCCAAGCATGAGAGTGGCCCTTTGCGGGGGCCCTCTGCAGACAGCACAAGTCACCTGTGGCCCCCACCTGCGTCCACCGGGGGAAGGCCACGACTGAGAGGTCGCATCACCCACCCCGTCGCCCTTCGGGGGTGCCCCGTCTGCTCGCCCCCACCCGCGGGTCCAGCTCACTCACCAATCTTGGCCAGGGAAGCCAGAAGGATCCACAGGGTGATCTCGAAGGGGATCTGCACATGCGGGTAATCCAGGGTGAACACGGGCAGCCGACTTTCCTCAAATGGTGTCGTTCCCGGGGCCACCACGCTCGCGGGGCTGGGCGGGCTGGAGCTGCTGCCCACGGCCCTCTGCGCACTCAGCAGGGTCTCCGCCAGGGCGCCCGCCGGTCCCACCACCTGCAGGAGCAGGAGCAGCGGCAGCAGCCGAGGCTGTGGCGAAAGCAGGCTCCGCCCGGTGTTCGCGGGCTCCATGGGGTCCGCAGCGGGTGCAGCCCACGAATCAGACGCCTGGGACTCTGAGCCCTCAGCGCATCACTCCGGAACACTGCCCCGCTGCTCAGCCCCGGGTACGGCGGGGCAGTCAGAGTCACCTCCCGGCCGCCTGGGCACCGGGTGTCTTGCAGCCGGCGGCCTGGGTCCCCGCCTCCAATAGGCGCACCAGCCGGAGGAGGGACGCGCGCGGCTCCAAGAGGCCACGACAGGGACGCTCAGCCGCCCTCGGTCGCCCTCCGCCGAGGCTGCAGTCCCATGCCGGGTCCGCGGCTCGCCGGCCGCAGTGGCAGGCCCTGCCAGGGGCGGCCCGCAGGCGGGGGCGGGAGCGGGGGCGGGACGGGCGCGGCGCCCGGGCCTCGGGGCGGGAGGACTCGAGGCCCCGGCTGGCGCACGGCGCACCTGCCCGAGCCCTGGGGGACGAAGGGCCCGGGGCCGCAAGGGCGAAGGCTGTGCTCCCTTCTCGCTGGCACTGCGTGCTAAAACCTGCCGCCCACGGAGCTGGCGAGCAGTGGGTGAAATCGCCGTGCAGGGTGCACGGTGGCCGGAGCTGTCTCCGCCCCGGAGGCAGCGTCGGGCGTCCATCCAAGGAAGGGACCGACGCGACCCACGCGTCGCGCCCTTTCCCCCGCAGGCTCCTGTAAGGGGACACCCCGGTGCGCTGGGCACACGGGGAGGAGCCAGCGGCTCGGTGCGGGGGAGCAGAAGCCGAGTGGGTAGAGTGGGGGGGGGGGGGGGCTCTCGGTGCCGCCTGGGCGCACTGGAGCTCTCTGAATGTACAGAAAGTTTCAAAAAGTCTCGTGTCTTTGTTTGCTTTGCGAGAGTTGTCAACCCGGGTGCAAGGCATTCTCCCCGGGCACTGAAACGGAATCCATTTCTTTCCCTCCTTGTAGCGTGTCTCATTCTGGGCAACTGTAGCTTCCTCTGTCCCCTGGTCTTCTCCCTCCTCCAGCTCACGGGGAGAAAAGTAAGAAAGTAAGAAAAAAGAAAAATCTTTTTCTGTTTTTAGCTCAAGAGGTGTCGTACATGTCCAAGGGCATCGAGCAATGTAATTATTTCATGGAAAACCAGTGATTTGCCTAGCTCAAATGGACTTGCTCTTGCTAATTACAGGACAGGATCAGGCTGTGGTTTGGGGAGGCAGGGATGGGGGCAGCGCGACTCTGCTGCAGGTCACAGGGCTGTAGCTCCAAGCCCGGGTTCCCTCCTACAGCGCCTAAGGCTCCAAGGCTGTGCCCCCGTTGTCCCAGTGTCTCTAGCATTTCAAAGCTGAAATTTCGAACAAAAAGCAACTGGACGGCCGCTCTAGCCCCTTTGATATTCATGAAATAGAAATCTTTCCCTTTTCTGCATTTAAAAAAAAATATTTTAAAACATGTGACACCCCACCATCACCATCACCAACTATTCAACAATCACGAAGTATTTCACAACCAAAGTGGGTTTTTTGGAAGTTCTAACGCGGGGTTAGAGGGTACAGAAAACAAAGCAGTTCTCCACCTGAGCAGGTGCACTGTCGGAACAGTTATCTGTAGACCTGAAAGGAAATGCAGGGGAAAGTCCGTGCTGACAAGGACAGAGGATTCTCAGAGAAGACATAGAATACTGCAGTTAATATTTTATCAACATTCGTTTTCCCCAAGTGCAACAGAGTTGGGTCTCAGGATATTCTATCTTCTTAAAAAGAATCACCATTTCTTCCAAAACTCAGCCTCTAATTCCTTTTTGATACGTTTAATAGCAGTAGTAACTTTACATATCTTTGGGAGAGAAGAGGGAAAAGTAAGAACTAGTTTTTGTTTTATTTTAAATGAAGTTCTGAACAAGGCGCTGGACTTCTACATTTTGTTCATTGTTACAAATATGCAAAGTCAGAGGCAGCCATTTTTTTAAGAGCTATTTATTCTTATTGGAAAGGCAACTTTATGGAGAAAAAGAGAGACAGAGAGAAAGACTTTCCATCCATTGGTTCACTCCCCAAGTGGCCGCAATGGCTGGAGCTAAGCCAAGCTGAAGCCAGGAGCCAGGAGTTTCTTCCGGGTCTGCTATATAGGTGCAGGGTCTCAAGGTTTTGAGTTCTCCTCCACTGCTTTCCCAGGCCACAAACAGGGAGCAGGATGGGAAGTTGAGCAGCTGGGAAATGAACTGGTCACATATAGCTTACCAGGTACATGCAAGGTGAGGATTTAGCCACTAAGCTATCATGTTGAGCCTGAGGCAGATATTCTTGTATTAATTTTATTGGCGAAGAACTACAGATGTTTAAATGTTTAAAAATGTTTAAAACAGACAGACAGACCCACTCAAGTTTACAAAGCAAACAAAGAAGGTTTTTGGGATAAATGTGCACTCAGATCTGCCCATCTAATGCTGGTTTCATCCAACCCTTTACTGTAGTGAGTCATTGCCTAGAAACTGCAAGTTAGTTTTTCAGGTGCTTTCAAGCTAAACAGCACTATTTCAGTCATTGTTTTATAAAGCGATTAGCAGAATAAAGTTTTTAATGGTTATAAGTGGAGAGAAGCAGCTTTGCAAGCTAAGCGAAGTTAGAGGTCAAGTTCACATTCACTCAATGGTTTCTATGAGCTGAAGTCACACAAATTCTGTTTAAGAACCAGAATGGTGAATGACAGCTCCAAATTTCTGGAACCTTAATGTCCATAGGAACAGCGGTTACAGACTCTAGTATATATTTAACTTCATGAATCTGTGCTGCTGCAGTTATAAAAGTGATTCACTTTTCCTTATAGTTGGAAAAGGATGGCCTTTTATTGGGTCTTGTCATGGAAAGATGGCTTTGTGTGAGCAACGGTCCTTCTTGATTTGCCGAAAGCAGATTGAGTTCTAGAGTGCCCCTATGCCAACCCAGCCCTAGGAGCTCAGCTCCGATGGTGGTCGCACCGTGACCCACTGCGATGGTGGTCACACCGTGACCCACTGCTGCTGCTGTGGGATGATTCAAGGCAAGAATCCATGTTTCCATCACCTTAGTCTCTTAGTGGTTTCTCCGTGCTTTCTAGAAACACCAAAACCCCGCACTTACTTGGCATCTGTCTTTCCGTAGGCTGTCCAGCTTTATGAAGTTTGACCAACATTCCAGATTCCCTCATGCCTTGGGGTCTTGGCATATCTATCCCCTTTCACAGCGCTTCAGTTGGCTAACTACTCTTACAGCCCCAAATCAAAGGTAATTAACTCGAGGAAGTCTTACCTGGTATCATTTTTATTTTTCTGGCTTACTTGGAGTTCTTTTTAAAGCCCTTGAATACCACCCATACCTTTTCTTCTCAACACTTCATCGTTTCCATTTTCTTCCATCAAAAAGCTTCATGAAGCTGAGCAGATCCTATTGGTCTATTTTATGAATTCTTTCATCCCTGGCTTTTTAGCATAGTATCTGGAATATGGCAAGTATCCACAAAATATGTGTTGGATGAACAAAAATGTGACTTGGGTAAAAATGAACAATTGCCATGCCTTAGGGAACCGGCCTTTCTTGGGATTGGGTTGGTTGTGCAGGATAGATATGAACTCGCCCTAGTTTCATGTGCAATGCTTCCTTCCAGCAGTACCTGATTCACCTTTTGGGTTCTCCCATGTCTATTCCTTCTACCTAAACACTGTGAGAAGCCAATCACATCATGAGGTTTCTAAATGTTTTCAGACATAATGATTACCTAGCTTAAGATTGACCTTGTTGCGGCATCAATGTACTTGCCAGGTATTTATTAATTCTCTCAGGTAAACCACTTAATGCTTTGTTTTCCCTTTGATATAAAACGATCTGTTGGAATAATACATGCACTTCAAGGAGACCTTAAATTCCTGTAACAGGAATCAGCCAGCTAGCAAGCAGGACAGCATCTCCAGAAGCCTTGGAAGTCACTTTGAAATTCTTGTGTGCAAAAGGTATATGTCTGCTAGCAGTGTAGAGGCGTTTAGTATCATCACCCAATGCAGGACTGGTCTTAAATTCTTTCTTGTTTCACTTCTTTCACTGAAAACCTCTGGATGACCCGAGTTCAACTTCATGTCTCTTGTCACATTCAACTTGGAGCTTAGTGAAGTGTTATCGGGTATAGAAATCCCAGAAACCTCTGCGTGAAGGAGGAGAATCCCTCAGACACCTGCCAGGGAAGGAGTGTTCCCCGGTGCAGTGACTCCCCTGCACCACAGTGGGGCGTTAGCACTCTCTGCACAAGGTTCCTATCACACTCAGCCTTGGTGTACAGGGTAAACAGACAAGGACAAGGAACTGACTCCCTTCCTAGATACTACAGACGGGAAGTTTGCAGATTTCATAGGTTTTCATATGTTGGAATATCTAACTAACAATGTTACTTTAAGAACATTCATTTTAAGGGTTTTGGTTTTCATTTTCATTTCCATAAAAGAGGAGATGGCCTAGCAGCTAAAGTCCTCACCTTGAATGTGCCAGGATCCATATGGGCTCCTGCTCTAATCCCATCAGCCCCGCTTCCCATCCAGCTACCTGCGTGTGGCCTGGGAAAGCAGCTAAGGACAGCCCAAAGCGTTGGGACCCTGCACCCACGTGGGAGACCTGGAAGAGCTCCAGGCTCCTGGCTTGGGATGGGCGCAGTACTGGCTGTTGGGGCCACTTAGAGAGTGAATCATCAGATAGAAGATCTTCCTCTCTGTCTCTCCTCCTCTGTATATCTGACTTTGTAGTAAATAAATAAATAAATAAATAAATAAATAAATAAATAAATCTTTTTTAAAAAAATCTTTTGGTTTTCTCCTCAAATGCCCACAGCAGGCCAGGGCTGGGCCAGGCCAAAGCCAGGAGCCTAGAACTCCACACAAGGTTCTGGTATGGATTTAGTGACCCAGTGATGACTGGAAATATCACCAGTGCCTCCCAAGAGACATATTAGCAAGTAGCTTGTTGGGAAAGGGCAGGTGGAACTCACTCCTAGGTACGTGGGATGCGCCTGCTCTGCTACAACTCCCACTGTGTACAATGAGTAATTCTTCATTGCGAAATGAGAGTTCAATCCAGAATCTTTGATTATGAAAAGCCAGTCTTTGCAATATAGGGTTTTTTTAAAATCAATTAATTGATTTGAAAGTCAGAATTACAAACAGAGATTCTTCCATCCACTCAGTCACTCCTCACATGG